CTTGTTAAAGGTTGTCTTTTCTATGGCAATAGTTAGCTTCAGATGAAATACAATATATATATTTGTAGGTGAGTTTTTAAACTACATATATAAATATATATATATATATATATATAATTTAAAAAATACCTACAATTAGGTGACTAAAGGTTGACTTTGACCAAAAAAGTGGTCAAAACAAACTTAGAGATAATGCAGTTATTTAAAGGTTAGCAAACTAATCGAAAGTTATGCTTTAGCTAAATGTGTTTTAATCTCTACCATCCCAGTATTATTGAATCTGCTGGTATGTGTTTGGGGGAGCCATAGTGACACGGGTGTAAACACAGGGGTGGTGGTGGGGGGGCAGGATTAGCAAGGTCAGATGTTCATATCCGACATCAGCTCCTGTGGATCCGCACATCACTGAAGTTCTTATCTCCTCCTGGTGTTGAGTTGACAGACTGACGGCAACAGCTTTATTTCAGTGACGCTGCCAGACTCGCCAGCATTTCTGGAAAGCAAAGAAGCCGCCGACAGGATCTGGAATTGGAGTGAAGGGGTGGGGGGGAGAGGGCGGCCAGGCCAGTCTAGAGTCCTAAATTTCCCCGAAGCATCCATTTGTATCTATATTGGGGATGTAAGTGGAGTGGAGCGGAAACTCTCGCAGAGGAGGCTGATTACAGAATCTAAAATAGTCCCTCAGTGGTGACCATGAGCCACGTCGGCCACAGCTGTCAGTTAGAGAGAACTGTTAACAGCTGAGCTGATGAACCATGTGACTGCTCTATACTCACATGTTCCAGGCTGGTGTGATTCCTATGGTTTGGACTAGGTTTATTGTTCACTCTAAATTGACCACAGGTGTGAATGTTAGTGTGAATGGTTGGTTGTCTCTATATGTGATGGACAGGTGAACCGTCCAATGTTGTAGCCCCGCCCTCACCTGTTGAATGCTAGGATTGGGTGCAGCCTTGTACTGTAACCCTGAAGATGATGAATAAATGGACGATTGTTTTGTATTCTGGATCAGTCAACTTTGACTGGCCCGTGTTTTAGGTCAATGAGTGAATGATTTTTGTGAATACAAAAATGTTTCCTGACTGAGCAGTTGGATCTCATGTATTTTCCCTGTTTTCTCCACTGCACAGGGCGTTGACGACACGGGAGAGAAGAAAGTCCCTGTAGGTGGTCAGGAGAAAGGTGAGTGAGCTCACATGATTTTCTTATAACTAATAAAAACTGAAATTGAAATTTTGAACCAATTCCAAACCTCATAATACAATGCGCCGTCAGTAGCTCTGTTGTGTTGACAATGAAAAATGTTTGCTTTCTTGCTAACAGCAAGCAACATTGTCAATGTAACAACAAGAGACTGCGGTGAGGTTTAATATGTGACATAAATCAAGCTCTGTCAACTTTTGCTGTTTCCTTTTAATGGTGTACAGTGTACTTACCTATCACAGTAGTTGCAGTCCAAGACCAACCGCAAAATGGGAAAAATTGCAAAGTAGAGGTGAGATAGTTATTATATTATTTACATATATATTTACCCTTTACAAACCTCCCCCACACTGTTATCAACCCTCCTGCAGTTGCATAATGGCAACAAGAGAGTGGCCGACAGACAAGGGGAGATGCTGAGAGATGCTATGATGCATGAGCCAATCAGCGTGAGGAATAGAAGAGCATGCTCAATTAGCCAATAGCACACCGAGTACGCATTGTATAAGTCAGTGTTTCCCAAACATTTTTTTCTGGGGACCCATATTTTAAAGGTTACAAACCTTCGCGACCCAAGTCAATAGGCATTATTCACAAACTCCTGGGAAACATGATGCGAGACGACCCAAAAAATATGGTATAAGTCAATAGTATGCTGTGTACGATCTCGTCAAGGTAAACAAAGCTACCAGCGATCAGTCGCAAATGTGCTTATTGCAATTTCAAAACTAGAATCCACATTTTTAAAGCCAACACTTTCGTATGTATAATTATTTTTTAATGTCTTTTAGTTTATTTTGTACTATATTTTGCGATTATGGTGAAACTTTTGCGAGATTGGATTAAGAAAATCTGCTATGTACTGAGGGAGCAAAAGGAGAACAGCGATATAGAGAGGGAACACTGTAGTCATATGGGGCTCAGACCTCAACTAATCGCACTTTACCCTTTTTTTCACAGAAAGGTCACCAGTGGACTGTGATGCAGGACAAGCGAGTGAAGACGTTTGTCCCCAGTCTCATCTGCCTCTCACTGCCATCACAAAACCCAATCCAGAACCGGCAACCATCACTCAGTCCCACACCCTGGAATCTCACAAAGCACTTGGTTAGACTTCCTCCCTCTGTGGATGTATCCTATCAGTGTAACAGTCTCATCTGTGCTGCCTTCACTGATCGCTCAGCCAACTTTTTTTTTCTCCCCCCCCAGACGAGAAAGAATCAGGTCTTCTGAGCAAACCTCACCTCCCTCTCACTGCAGTCAAAATGGTCACTGCTGAAGCTTCAACCCATCTTCAGACTCAAGCTGCTGTTCCCAAAGTCAGCAAAGAAACTCCAGCCAAGCCACTGGCTCCCTCTGCTGGTAAGACCGTGGTCCTTTTTATATTTCCCAACTGTTTTTGTACTGTGGCACATATTTGTCATTAGGAAAACCCCACTGTACACCACTAAACAAAAATATACTCGCAGGAATTAAAGAAAGACACTCACAAAGATGTTCTTCAACTTCTGATTTTTTTTGGTTTTCATGGCCATTTGGTGCCACCTAGTGGAAGGGTATTTAATAGTTCTGCATGTCATGAATTGACAAACAAAGAAAAAAGAAATTGTGGCACACCTAATGATGTCTCACAGCACACTAATGTGCCACGACACAGTGGTTGGGAATCACTGATTTATAATGTACAGTATGTTTATATTTTATTAATTCTTTTTTTTTTCACAGATGTAGCTGAACCTCAGCCTCATCTCCCCGTCACTGCCATGGCGTCCAAACTCAGTTCTGAAGTTCTTCCTTCTGCCAGACCTGCTCCGTCTGCTGCTTTACATCTGAGAGGAGCTGAGACTCTGACAGTGGAAACAGGTGAATCATTTTTACTGAAGGCTAACTTGTACTCTACGTATCTCCAGAAGGCATTTTTTTAAATATACTTGTGAACTATTTTATTATTAGTTTATTGCTAAAGGACACAAAGGATTTCAGTAAATGTTGAATGAATATATTTTCAAAGTAGTTTAATGACAGATTTTTCATTCCTTTTTTCACAGCTGTTTCTGGAGCTAAAGATCAGAGGAGTCAGATCATTCCGGACTACTCAGGGTCTGGATCTCATGCTCTGTCACATTTTTCTCTGACTGCTGTGACAAAAACCAGCTCTGACTCTGTTTTGCCCAAACCTGACCCCAGTCCTGCTTCAGCACTGAATCCTGCTCTTACAGACCCTCCTGCAGTAAAGCGAGGAGATTATCCATTCAGACGTGGTGAGAACACAAATATCTCCCTGTGATGTTCAAACCATCACACCTAACTATTTCTTTGTGCTAAACCTAGAGCGAAAAAGAAGATCCATCAGCTAACTCAAGTGTTTCCATGCTGGCTGAGAGTACCTTAGTTTTATACACATGTACATGTTTATTGGCTAATCTTTAGCTAAAACTTACATTTGCCAAACTATACAATGTAACCCAAACTGAGTATTTAGCTAAAACTTACATTTGCCAAACTAAACAATGCAACCCAAACTGAGTATAAAAATCCCAAACTCAAAGACACATAGCAAAAATAGCTAACAGTTAGCAGACAAAGAACCACACTCGGAGAAAGACAAGAAAATAATCAACACAGATTCTAATGGAACCATGTCTTATTTAGACGCTGCTGAATCAAAGCCTCACTTGCCGCTCTCTGCTGTCGCCAAACCCAACACAGAGTCATCTTCATCATCAATATCATCATCATCATCATCACTGTCATCTGTGATCATCATCAATATCATCATCATCATCACTGTCATCTGCTACAACAGTTCAATCTGTGATTCTATCAGCATCACAGGAGTCCTCTGTCAAACCTGGGGAATATCCCTTTAAACGGGGTAGGCACTGTATATGTAATGGTGCCAACACCTGATTCACATCACTGTCATTGTCAGTCAGTTTTTTCCCTCCAGCTTATTCTAAGCAAATGTATACTTGTCACATTTTATCTATGTTTGGCTATATTCTACTAACGATTAGCTATCTCTGCGTTTACTTTTAGTCATTAAGCTAGCAAGCTATTTTTTTATAAATGTACTGCTTCACCTTTACTTACCTTTGCATTTTTTTCAACGGAGCGTGACGAGAGCTTTTAGCAATTTCTTAGCTAACATTTAGCTATGTTGCTATTTTTCACATACATACAGTCCAACCTTGAGCTCTTTTTTGAGTTTTTTGTCAGATTGTGATGATCGTTAGCTGATGTGTCTAACAATTGGCCTTACTTTTCCATGTCATTTTGTTGTACTTTTACCTTACCTTAAGCTGTTTTAAAGCAAGTTGTCAATTTTAAGCATATTTAAAGCATATTATTGCCACTTTTGATCTTTGATTTTATGTACATATGTTATATATATATGTATCTCACTTCAGTGCCTGTTCTGAAAACACCCAGTCCCAGTCTGAAGAGAAGTGTGAGCTTCCCCCAGTCTGCAGGTAACATACAGATGATGCAGATATGAAGGCCTTCTTATGCTGACATGTCTTACTCTGTGAATGTGAATGTGAATGTGGAGGTATTTGATCTTTTTTCCTTCGTTTGTTTTGCATGTCTTTCTTGCGACTTCAGAAAAGCTGCTTCCATCCAAATCCATCATTAAGTCTGGTTTCTCACCAAATCTGGAAAAGTAAGTCACTGTCTCTTTACTATTGATGTCGTTTAGCAATTAGCTATTTTTGGGCTAACATTTTGCTGTCTTGTGGCTTATTTTCGGGGGGAGGTGGGCCTATATATTTATATATATATATATATATTTACTTTATATAAACATACATATTAACATACATATATAAGTATATATGTGCATGTGTGTATATACATATACTGTATATGTATTGAAAGGCAAATGTTTTAAGCATTTGTCTTAGCTTTGAACTGTTTGCAGACTGTTTACTTCTTGCTAACCTTTAACAATTTTTGTACTTACTTTTATTATCTTTTATTTATCAATTTACAGACTAGGGTTTGGCAAAGTTGGGATAGATTACAATTTTTGACTTTAGCGTGAGCTTGAACCTGCCAGCAGGAAAATGGAATTTTACTTGGGTCTCTCTGTCACTGTTTTTCCTTCAGGAAAGCGAACAAACCAGCGGCTGTTGAATTTAAACAGGACATTAAGAAATCCCAGACTCTTACAGGCTCCAGTGGAGCTCAGGCCAAGCGGGCTCTGTTTGAGCGGATGAACTCGGAGCCCATCAAGTAAGTGATTCTGAACTCACTTTTTAAAAAAATTCTGCAGCATATTTATCTCCGTAAATAATTTTCTTCAATATATTTTCTCTGAACAAAAGGCCTAAAGATTCAAAACCTAAACTGAAACGCTCCCAGAGTTTTGGAGTGTCTAGCGCCAGTGGCATAAAGCAAATTCTGTTGGAGTGGTGTCGTTCCAAAACCATTGGCTATCAGGTAAAATGAGTGGGTGAAGATGAACAATGAAAAATAACTAGAAGTTAGTCTTAAGATTAGGCCAGAGTTAAAAATGGAGTTTGAGTTTGAATGGAGAAAACACTAAAAAGTTAGCAAAAAAGAAGAACATGTCACAGAAGTTTACTACATTTTGCCAACCTTTAGCTTAGTCATAGCTCAGAGTTAGTCCACAAATGTGCTAAAATGTAGCCAGGTCAATCTCTCTGCTGTTTTCTGTTCCCAGAACATTGACATCCAGAACTTCTCATCCTGCTGGAGTGATGGTATGGCCTTCTGTGCTCTGGTTCACTCCTTCTTCCCTCTGGAGTTTGACTACAACACATTGGACCCTGCAAACCGCAAACACAACCTTTCACTGGCCTTCACCACTGCAGAGTAAGCACAGGCTACAGGGAATGGTTTCTTTCTAAAAGAGAGTTTTGTTTTTTGTTCAAATAATGAGGGGGATGTTTATACTGTATATTTACAGATTAATGTGATATATTTCAGCTAACGTTTATCTGTTTAATTATGCTTTGTTTTGCTAATCTGTGCGTTTTTGTGGTCCAACGTTTACAGTTAGCATATTATAGCTGTTACACTATTTTCTAGTGTTTAATTATAATATTATTACTATTATAGCTTGAGTTTCATTTAGACTTTTTTGCTACTTTGGCTAACCGTTAACGGCAAATGGTTGGTTTTTCAGTACTATAAAACATATAGATTGCAAACTATTCCTTGATATACTGGAATGTTTTGAAGAATTTTGTCCATAAATAATTGGATCCATTAAACATCTTCATGTTTCAGGGAGCAGGCTGACTGTCTGCGTCTGATCGAGGTGGAAGACATGTTGGATATGGGGGACAAGCCGGACCCTATGTGTGTCTTTACATATGTCCAATCTCTGTACAATCATCTGAAGAAGTTTGAATGACTCTGTATCAGAGTAGATGTTATTTTTTTTTAACCACAGAATGTTGTGAACATGGTGAAAATATGCCTGACAAAAAGAGGCTAAAGTGAACATTTACAAACTGCTGATTGTTAAAGGGTGGTGTCTATTAGTGTTTTTGTGTGATTTTTAACAGGTCAAACACAGTAAGAAAATAAAAAAAAGAAAATAGTTTGCAGCATATGCCAAGTCTGACTCCAAAGACTTGTTGCCTTGTCTTGGTTTCAATAGGAATGGGTTTTATGTGCACAATTAACAAGTGAGTTATATAGCCCATGTAAAGTGTCTCAATTTTGAAAGATTTCTTGAAAAGGTATTACAATTTGTACATGATTTTGTACAAACATGATTTGTTCCAAAAATATTTAGCTAAGATAAACCAGCGGCTTTTGCTAATTAGCTTTTAATTGAAAAGCTTGTCTATCTATAAATAATTTATCAGTGCTTTGTGGGTTTTTTTAAAAAAATATTTATTGGCTCTTTAGTCAACCAATGCTTTTGGGTATCCATAGTATTTTTCCCAAATTCAAGATGTGTCACCTATGTGCTCTCCGGTTAAACACTGCCATCTTCTGGCAATCTGTATCTAGTGCAGGCAGACAAATGTTAATCAATGACCAGAACAACGAGTGCATTTACAAAAAAATACGTAAGAATACGGTATAGTTTCTCGGTTAGAACTTATTTTTTGCAAATGTGGTTATTTTATATATATATATAGTTCTGATACCCATTAATTTCTTTCAAAATATCTGTTTAAGAGCTTTAAAGCAGACTACTGATTGGTTTTATTTGCCATAATTTACACACAATTCTCAAATTTAAGTTCGAATTTTGACTCTTTCCGATGTTCATTTAACAAATAACTATTACTTTTGTAGAGAACCAAAACGATGGGACGTCATATTTCCTAGCTTTTCCAAAGGTCCACAAACGCAACACTTCCCAATGACCAGGCATCACTTCCGGTAGATGAGGTCAACGTTTCCCAGGATCCGCCATTTCGGTCTCGTAGTTTTTCACTGAACGTTTTTTTTTTTAATGTATCTACAATTCCTCTTTGATAAAAATAAAACGATAGATTAAAAAATCAACACAACTTTAAGAGACCGACGCTTTGAAACTGTTAGGTTAAAGTTGCTACTTTAACTTTTTTATTTGTGCAGCGGCATCGTAAAGTTAAACCAAAGTTTTGTATGAGTTGCGGATAGGGTGAGGCCTCAAGGCTCGGGCGTTTTTATTTAATTTTATAGCTATGGCCGGTAATTTTGATGCCGAAAATCGTGATAGCTGGTACTGGGGCAAGCTGAAGCGCATTGAAGCTGTCTCCCTTCTACAGGGACAGAGACACGGTGTTTTCCTGGTCAGGGACTCCTTCTCCATCCCTGGCGACTTCGTGCTGTCTGTTTCAGAGAACTCCAAAGTGTCCCATTATATCATCAACAGAATCAGTAACAACAGACAGTCTGGTTCAGGTAATGTTGAATAATTTCCTCACACAGCCAGTGTTGACCTATGCTTTATATTATTGCATGAGAATAACAAGAATTCCTGTGTAATTTGTGGATTGTAGCGATTCAGCCCCGTTACGCCCCTCTTCCCCCGTGTACTGAGTCACGCCAAACTTCATTTGCAAAGCGTCACGTTTCTCTATTGTCAAAAATCAACATAGATATAGTAAGTTGAATGTCGTAGTAGCATCTGTTTATTTTTTGCAAGATCATTGTCTTAAATTCGGCTAAATCTTTTACACATTATGCAAACTTGATTAAAGAAATAAAGTTGTCAACATGTACTGCACATGTTGACAACATGCGCAGGTTGGGTGGTTTATGCAATGCCGAGCAGCGTCAATTAAACATGCAAAAAAAAAGTCTGCCAGTATTTGCACTTTCTTGAATTTAACTATGTTAAAGTGCACGGTGCATTTCTTAGTTGTTTCACGAGCGTAAAGTGAGAATAAACTGGTCTCAGCCTACTTGATCCAAAATACAACGCAATATAATAAAACGCCTTTCTGCACAATTTAGTGTAATCGGGAAACATGGGAAGTGCCAGTTTAAACTTATAACGAACACGATGTTTTTTGCTTAATATAAAATAACTGTAAATAAATAAATATATGTTCTTGAAAATACCCCTTGGCTAAATCTTATAAATGTGACATTTTTAATTTAACTGCACTGAATGGCACAAACAGGGCTGTCAAAACGAGAGGATGACTGATCGGACTGGATTCTTTGGAATGTGTGTGATCCTGTCTTCGTGTTCCTATTCCTATCCTTCGTTGTGGCTCCTATTAGACTGTTAAACCAGTTTCGTATAAGTTGACATAACTGAGATTTTTCAGTAGGTATATATTGGGCTTTCACGATACCATTGTTTTGAAACCAATACATGTGCGAGTATTTTCACTTGTGTACTTGCCCATACCAGTTACCTTAAAGAATATCAGATGAACTGGAAAGTAGTGTTATGTATATGGCACGACTCTGGATATAGGGTAAAGTGTGAGGTCAACCCGAACCATTGTGGCAACAAGCAGCAATAGTATAACATCATAAACAGAGGGCTAGTTTAATCCACAATGATTAATGCAATAGGAACATTTGCATCTTAATTTATATTTTTAGTTTGCTGATATCAGGATTGTATTAATTTATTCATTTCATTTAGTTTAACTTACTTACAAATCTTCTTTCTTTCCTAGGTTTACCTCCTCCACAGTTTCGGATTGGGGATCAAGAGTTTGACGGCCTATCGACCCTTCTGGAGTTTTATAAGATCCACTACTTAGATACCACTACACTAATAGAGCCTGTAAGCAAAGCTAAGAACACAAGTTTGGTCAGCTCGCCCATAGTCTGTGTCCCACAACAGCCAGAAGAGACAGAATTTGTCTGTGCGCTGTTTGACTTCCCGGGCAATGACGAGGAGGACCTTCCTTTCCGTAAGGGTGACATTCTCCGTGTGCTGGAAAAGCCAGAGGAGCAATGGTGGAATGCTGCAAACCAGGAAGGCCGAGCTGGGATGATCCCTGTGAACTACGTGGAAAAGTATCGGCCTGCCTCGCCCCCCAGTGCTGATTTTGGTTCTCCTATTTTGGCAGCCGGACAGGGGGGTCAAACTGGAGTGATAGTTGGCAGCACAGATGGAACAGGGGGCACAGCAGTCAACCTATTGGGGGATCCAGGCCAGTACGCGCAGCCTGTCGTCAACACTCAGCTTCCTAACTTGCAAAATGGGCCCGTGTACGCCCGAGCCATTCAAAAGAGAGTCCCCAATGCTTACGACAAGACGGCACTTGCTCTTGAGGTAATATATCAACTCAATAACTAATTCCTTTTCTGTGTATTTGCTGATGTGGCCCAGACTGTTCTGGGTTGCAAATGGCCTACTCATGCATGTGAGCCCGCACAGATAGTGTTGTCACAAATGGAAGCTGACAACACTCACAAAAACACAGTGAGGTGGCTTCATCGTCCTCAATACAGGCCCTTCTTTTTGTACACATTGTAATGAATGAAACATTCATATAAGCTAAAATAAGGCACGTTGTTGTTCTTTGAACAAATATATAAATGAGGCCATTAATGCAAAGAAAAGTGAGGTTTATTAAGAAGGATAGACAATGTCTTTTTTTTTGCAAAAAAAAATCTTTATTTCTTCATTACACATGTTACTGTTACAAGCCAACTGCTTATATTATATAGACTTAGTACCAACAAGTTTTCTGTTCTGAAAACAACAACAATTTTTACCTTAAGTCCAGTTAATTAAGAACATCTCGTTATATAGAGACAAATACAGAATTCTGTTTTCTTGGGCTATTACGTTTATCCACAATTCGACTACTAGCAGTGAAACAGTTTGAAGGTGAGGGGTTTTTTTTGCAACACATTACATAGTTTTCTTTGTCAGAACTAAATGTTTTTCAAGTGTCTAAAAGGCTACAACCTGGGATTTCACACTATAGAACTGGAAATAGTTGTCAAGCTAGGGTTTAGCTTGTCAAGCTAATGTTTAGCTTGTCAAATGCAACTGTGCTTGCTCAGAGGCTATATCATGTCCGTGGATGTGAAAGCTCATCCCTGCCCAACAGCTTTAGCAGGTACGTTGCCATTGCAATATTGTTACAAAATGAGCACATTATGTAGTAGGGAAGAAAAGTGGAGTCTTGTTTTTAGGATGAACCATTACTTTAACTTAAATTAAAACCTAATACGAAAGAAGAAAAACATTACTTTCTACATACACACCTCCAATCCCCAGCAGCCACTTGCTGTCAGTCTTCTTTGTCTGTTCGGTGTTCTTTTTAAAACTTAACACAGGAAAATGCAAATGCTGGTGTGAAGATACTGCAAAGATTGTGGAGGTAGAACAGGACAGTCTTTCCAGTATTGATTTATTAGTGTTAACATAAAGAAAAAGTACATTACAGGGAAATCATTGGAAATGATTACGCCATACTCTGTATTTAATCCAGGTGTAGCTGTACACTTTTATATGTATTTATTAGTAGTGTAATGGCATGCAAACATCTTGATTCAGTACATTCCCTGATATTAACATTACAGTTATCAGTAGGAAAACAAAAGTGGAAAAGGCATTGCATAATTTTTGGTCATTTATTAACCAATGGCCACATTGATATCTGTGAAGCCTTATGCAATTCCCACCATGTGTGTTAATTAGGGATGTCCGATAATATCGGCCAACCGAATAGGTCATTCCTAGTGCTGATTCATTTTCAAATATTTTTAAGTGCCCTTAAAATTAGTTACAAATATTCCAAAGGAATTAAACTAGACAACTGAAAATCTTGTTTTAAGGTGTTCCAAGTCAAGGGGGCAATGTAAGAAAAAACTTTTTGCTTAATGCTGTAGGTGCTGTAGGCATTGAAGGTCTTGGCGTGACGTTATTGGTTGACAGAAGTTGTCTGTGAGTAGTTCCCAGTCGCTCATTGTACATCTGGGCTTTTTTGAAGTTATCAATAACATGTCTTACCTCACATTTAGGATAACCTGTTAAAGAGCTGTGGAATCTGGCGACAGAACAAATGTCAGAAATTTTAACACAGTTATGGGGACTATATATGTTCTACTGTCACAATTGTTGAGGCCTATGAGTTGTGGCTCACTGTAGCAACCTGTGATTAAAGCTCCTCCAGTGACATTGTTAGACTTAGCAAACCAGTTCTACCGGGACTTGCAGCAACCTGCCCCACGCTGGTTTGTTGAGGCAGTTAAGCTACAGAACAAGTCTGGTGTTGCAGATGCAAAAACAGACGGATCAATGAATACTAGTTCAATGCTGTTCTATTTAGTGGCCTGTGGGATTTAGAACAGAACATTGAGATTGTATTGACAGCTTCAGTTTGACCAAGTTACTGACAGAAAATACAGAGGGCTGACTCCATAATAACCAGGCATTTTTGTCATGTTCTATCATCAGGTGGGAGACATGGTTAAAGTGACCAAGATCAATGTGAATGGCCAGTGGGAAGGGGAATGCAAGGGCAAACGAGGCCACTTTCCCTTTACCCACGTGCGACTGTTGGAACAACAGCATCCCGATGATGAAAGCTGAGGAAACCAAGCACTGCCACCATGGCCTGCCAACAAGTCTTTTCAAAATGTTTTTTTTTTGTTTTGTTTTTTTCAAAGAAAATTTTTCACAAGCACAAGTATGAACCCACCGCTAAGACCTCTCAGACCCAGCCAACAACTTGAAATGTTGGTCAGATGTCATTTTCATGGATTCTATTCATGCGACAGTCCTGCCTGTATTTGCTGCCTTTTTTCTATTAACCCAACTAGTTTGGGACTCATTTCAAACACAGCCACAGGAGATCAAATTCTTGCTTTATTCTGGATTTTCTATTTATTGATGTGAGACAATTGAACAAAAACATTGGAAGTTTCTCTAAAAAAGAAAAAGTGTCCACTACAGGGAGAGCTTTAAGCTTAGCTCGAGGATTAAAAATGGAACAGTGTAATTGTCAAGGCATTTCTAAAAGAAAAAACTGTGTACATACGTGTGTGTGTGTGTGTGTGTATAGTCACTTGCTTAAACAGATATTTTTACATTTAACCTGCTGCTGTTTAAATGGCCTGCTGCTTCTGCTCCTCTTGGTTTTTTGCTGAGGTGACAAACATGGCACAGCGGTGCAAACAACAACCAAACAACATGTTTACTTGTTTTTCCAATTTTTTAATTTTCTTCTTTTTTTCTTGGTAGTTCTTGGTCATTTTTGACACAATAACCAATAGTTTCAGGTTTCTTTTTAAAGAAATAATGATCTTCAAATTACCTTTTGTTTGTGTTGAGCTAAGGATAAGAATTGCTGAGATGTAGAAAACAACACAACACTGACATTTTGAAAAGTCTACATTTTTGGGTGTGACAGGGGTTGGATGGCTGGATAAATACATCTTAAAGTGTACCAACACTGTGATAACTTGTCAAAGTTGATTTTAGCTCATATGCTAAGTTCAGTGTAGAAACAGTGCTGCGTTCATTTTGTCAATGTCGGCTTGTATTTCATAGATCGACTAATAAAAATGAACACATCAACCGATAAAATAACATGTTCATTCCATTGTTTTATCTACTGGATAACATCACCTAGAGCTGAACAATGTAGACTGTAGTTATTCACTATATATATGTATGTATATGTGTGTGTGTGTGTGTGTATATATATATATATATATATATATATATATATATATATAGTGAAAAGATTAATGAAGATGAACTGTCACCGTTGTTGGGGCTAAAAACAATTTGCAATATTGCATAAAACTTGGACAAATAAAAAGTAAATTCAAAGTTACTGAACAAATGTTAAACCTACATAGATGTACATTTCATGTGTAACATTGTGAAGCAGCATTTAAACACATTCAGACACCAGCTGTCAAAGACACCAGTTTAAAAAAAACAAGCAACAGACTGCTCCATCATTCACATTGCTCAATAATATAGGTATGTCTGAAACCACAGACCACCAAGTACAAATGGTAATTACTTTTGCTAAACTTGATAATCAACATCGTTAGTGTTTAAGTGTGTTTGTGTGACAAAAATCTCAAACATGATTACAACTTGTGTGCGCCTGTCAAATGACTTTATGTGACAAGGGTTATAGGTGATAGTTTTTAACATATTTGCACCTGCCTTTGTGTTAAACTGCATTCCTCTTTCTCCAGTCACTTACCCATCTGAACTTTGAAGTGGGTTTAACCATTTCATATTTTTCAGTGTTCATTGTATGTTATTGAAAATATGTTCTTACAAGTCTACCCTTTTATACTTTTTAAATTAGTTAGTGTCATTTGTGCATATAACGTGTCAATAAAATACAATAAAAGAACATACCAACCATTCAGCTTAATCTTTATGAAGTACATCAGTTTGCATATAATTGAATGTAGAATTGTTCCTTAACAAATGTCACACTAGCTTACAATTTGCAATAAATCATTAAATTTCTTTCTGAACATTTAAATGAGATTAAATTTATATGGGTTACCTTTTGAATTTGGCAGATTAACCTAAATAAACAAACAAATAAATTCAAAAAGATCTTAATTGCATTTTTTCCTTTAAATATATTACATTTTGGTTTTAAATAAATAAATGTAATTATTCTCAGTTAGGTCGACTGAAGTGCACTGTTCTCTGTGTTTAAATTATAACTTTTTTTAATTTCAGAATATTGTATGTTTATTTTGGATTGCAGCCAATTCTAATTACTTTGGCATTGTATTGACACTGCAGTTCACTTGATTCAAACTAATTCTAAATCTTTACATTTGTTTTTATAAAGATACAGTAGTTTATTTAACAAGTGTTGTGCTGTGTACAGATAGATTTATTTTCTCATTTTTTGTAAAGCATGTCGTGTGGGTGTTCCGTTTTTGGCCGTGTCACGTGGGTGTGCCACGCCTCCGCTGCAGCGCGGGAGGGTTTCCCCAGATTCGTGTTAATACGAAAGACACGTGTTACTCAGCAGAACGGCGGTGCTTTTTCACTACCTCTAGAATCAACTCCGAGCTGATCCATTGAATGCACCCATTTTTACATTTAAAATACTTGAAGCCGCAACGTGGAAGCAACCATGGACGACAAGAACTACTTTCTATGTAAGGCAAAAGTCTACGAGCAAACGGAGAGATGGGATGGTAAGTCACTTTCGGCGTTATCGTGGCTCCTTTTCCCCCTCCTTACTTGTTCAGCTACAGAAGCGGTTATTAGTTGTTGCAGTTGTTTTTCAAAATAAAACATCGTTCAGCATTAGTTAATAAATAAAACCGAAATAATGTTAGTTGTGATTTTCTTCTTCTTCTGTGTTTCTCCAGGAAGGAACGGCAAAAACCCATGCTTCATAACTTTAATTATTTTAAGCTAATGTAATATGAAGAGGTAGAAAAAAAAGCCTTCAACAAAGTTAAAGAGTCAGTAGCAATAGAATTGTTTGACCTCCACGTATTAATCTGTCATTTCATACACTCTAATGCAATAGACAATGGCTGCTATCAAGGCTATGTCTGAAATAAGTAGATATTAGGTGTCAATCAGGTAGTGAGGAGGTCACCCACAGGAAAGTGTTTTGAGATTTGAGAAGCCATCATCTGATGCCACCCTTTTCTCTCTATCTGCCTTTAGATATGGCGGAGTCCATGGTGAAAGTTGCAGAATTCAAACACGGCTTGACAACTGAAGAGAGGGATCTTTTTTCGGTAGCTTTCAAGAACAGCATTGGACCCAAAAGATCTGCCTTGAAGATAATCAGCGGTATTGGAGATAAAACGGACACTCCAGAAAAACTAGATATTATTCAAGAGCTCAAAGACAAGGTAAAACATAGTTTAATAAAACCAAATATACATCATTTTTACAACATTTTGGTGGGGCAAGTTGTCATGGTATCTTGAGTTTTGCTGCTTTTCTATATGCCTGGCCGCTCCTTATTTTTCTGTGACTGCAGGTGGCCCAGGAAGTGAGGGATATCTGCAACAATGTTCAGAATGAAATTGACACAAACATTATTCCAGTTGAGCAACATGTGGGAAAAGTTTGTTTTTTTTTACAAAATGTATGTGGGTAATTTTTAAAAAAAAAATTCAGCCAGAAATATCATTTATTTCATTGTAATTTGATGTCTATATGTTTTAATCTATGTTTTTAAAAATATCTTAAGTCCTTGATGTTTGCTCTTAAAGATAGTTAGTGAAATTAGCTAATGTAGCAATTGATTACCTAGAAAGACACAAAAAGCACAGAAATACTTATTGTAAGCATAAGAAATATTACGATTTAATCCAACTCTAAATAATCCCAAATTCAGTAAATGGAATACAGTGTTCATCTGTCAGCATGCTGGTCAGCAGATGTCAGTGTGACCCTGTCAATCCCCCTGCTCAGGAAGGGCGATTACTACCAGTACCTGGTTGAGGTTACCACGGATGACATCAGCAAGAAACAAGCAATGGAAAAATGCCAGAAACAATACCAAGTTGCGTTTGACATCGCTTTGGACAATTTGTCACCAATTCACCCACTCCGTCTGGCATTGGCTCTTAACGTTTCCCTGTTCTACTACGAAATCCTCAATTTACCAGAGAGGGCTTGCGGGTAGGTGCAGATGTTGAACTGTGGGTGTATGGGTTTGAAAATAACTCCAAGAAATTAACTGAAGACCTTTTTAAAAAAAATCACATTGTAATGTTTTTCCTGCCCTCTGTCCAATCCAAAAACTCTAGTTCTTAAAAATTGCAGTAGGTGAGTTGTAAGTGGACAGACTCCCACTGTCTGAACTTTAAATCTGCTGTGTTCAATGTGTACATGTGTTGACCTTGTGCTACAGACTGGCGGAAACTGCGTTCAACGCTGCAATTGCTGAAGTGGACGATAAACGTGAAGACTATTGTAAGGATAGCACAGCTATCATGCAGCAGCTACGTGACAACTTAACGCTGTGGGGCTCACAGGACTACTAGAAGGTGAGAGTGTTGTTCTTTTCTCAATGTCTGCTTAATGCTCTCTGATGTTTGACTCCCTGCTGTCAGTCATTTTATTATAATCTAGCATTTACTATGCCCCATTACAAGTCTGCCTTACATGCAGAAGGTCCTGGGTTCATGTCCCTGAGGAACCACATACTTGGTGCCTCCTGTTGGGCAGCCTTGTTGCAGCAGATCTGCTGTTAACAATTTCCCCAGCGTGGGATCAAAGTTCTTTTTTTTTTTTTCTTTCTTACACTGGATTCTTCTTCTCCCTCCCCTGTGAACTTTAAGTGTCTCTCCTGTCTCGGCTCCACCCTCTCCTTTCAGTCTTGCCACAAAGACCTTTTCTAATGAATCTCTGGAGCTACAACCACAGTTATCTTTTTTTGAAATAGAAAATGGAAGTCTGTTATACAGGCTACCACTGGAGGTGCCATTAAGTATGTGGTTTCTCTGGGGCTTGAATCCAGGACCTTGTGATATTGAAAAAACAATGAATTAGAGGTAAACCAGAAGTTCCTGTGGGAAAGTGTGGAGTAATAATAATACATTTTATTTAAAAGCGCCTTTCAAGTCACCCAAGGACACTGTACATAAAACAAAACAAAAACAGTGAGTAGTGAGAGACTCCTGTTGATATATGGTCAGAGAAGGATATAGCACTGTTGCATTTGGCTAAAAAGGAAGGATTTCTGTTTTGGGTCTTGGCCAATCATTGGCCATTGACCCAGGTTTTCTTTTTGTCTTTATTGTCCTGATCATTGTTTTAGGACAATATCAGCCAGAAAGAGCAGCAATGTTCCAGGTGGGATTGTGCTCTTTGAAAGGTGCAGTTTGATAGAGAACCAGACCAAACACAGTTTTGAAACCAATTGAACTCAACCTGCTAAACTGTCCCAATGTGAAACTGATTAAAGTGAGCAGATAAAAAAATATCTCAGCGCACCAGGACCGATCCTTCTAATGAATTTGAGAAACAAGATTTGGACAGAATTCATAGTGTCTGGTCTTATTCTGTTGTGGTTAATGTTGTAAGTTGTTGGTTAACAATAATCAATTTTAAAGGGAAACTGTTGAATAGCTGAAGAATCATCAAGATCACTAACACATGACAACCTGTATTTGTCTCTTCACTTCAGCTGACAAGGCAAACTAAACGTGGAAGATCTGAAAGTGACATGAGACGAGTCGCCTTTCCCTTCCTCCTCCTGTCCGTTGTCCTCCTCATCTGGGAACAGCAGCAAGTATGGAATAACTGGTTGTGTTCCCATCATGTCTTTTATAGCTTTTCTTGTATATATGTAATCTTGGGTCTTAACTTCCATTCCAAGGTAACCCGGTGGTTAATTTTCTCTTTTCCTTCTCAAGATATTTTTTATAAGTAAAACAACAAAATTTGTGTGTAGTGAACGACACTTTACTACACTTTACACAACCTTTTTTTTCCCATTTTCCAAAAAGTTCAAACCCACCCTTGTCCTACACAGAGGCTCAGGCCAAATAATGTGCTTTTGCTAAAGGCAATAAGTAATTGATCATTTGATTTGTACTACTGGCACAGTATGGAATTACAAATAATCTTCAAATTAAGGAAATAAATTAGTACAAACTGCTAGTATGTGTTAAGTCCAAAAATGCATCAAAATTTCCAAAAATATGCAAACCTGTATAATTTGTGTCAAACATACAAAAAACAGCTTTTTTTACTTTATCAAAAATTTGACAAAAAACAAAAATGACTTTCATGGAAAAATCGGAAAAAATAATGTCCAAAAATGCATCACAATGTCTTAAAATATGTAAATGTGTATGATTTTTTGAAAACAGAGGTTTTTCATCAAATTTGGTTAAATTTAAGAAAAAATTATTTAGAAGATAAATATTTTCATCATTCAATTTTTGTTCATCAGATGGTGAAAAATTATGATAGTTTTCAAAAAAATTCAAAATGTTATCTTTTCTGCATGTTTTTCATCAGATTAGAGCATTTTGAAAAGCGTGTTAGGAAAGTTTTTTGTAATTTTGAAATTTTCTGTTAAAATGTGAACTTTTTTGATCAAAAACTAAAAAATCTTGACAACTTTTTGTAAAATTATTTTTTGAAATTTAATAGTAAATGTTAAATGTTTCTGATAAAATAAGGCATTTAGAGACATTTTTTAGAAATTCTCAAAACATTTTCTCTTAAAATGTGAGCTTTTTGTGTCATTTTTGGTCAAAAACTATAAAAAGAATTGTAGAAAAGTCTTGTAAAATATTTTTTAAAAAATGATCTTTTCCTGCATGTTTCTGATAAGATTAGGGCATCTAGAGAACATTTTTAGAAATTTATTTTCAAATAAATCTCTGTGAAAATCTGTTTTTCATGTAATTTTTGGGCAAAAACTAAAAAATCTTGACCAAAATTTATGTAAAATTATTTTTCAAAATTTCATACTTTCATGGTAATATGAGCTTTTTGTCATTTTTTTCACTAAAAAAAATTGATGAAAATGTTCACTTG